GATCTTTCCGTGCCGTATGCAGTCCTCGAGAAAAGCACGGGGGTTCAGCATATGCGCATGCCATACCATCAGCACGTCTAGAATGGTTAGTGGCCGGTACCAAGCATGCACCGTGACTCAACTTACCGAGAGGAGGCATATCGTCTTGAGACCATTTCATTGGCTCGTCAGAGGTCGTGATCTTCTCGTAGCTGGTAGACTTGAGGGTACTGAGTTTGGGCTGCGCGCGAGAAGCAGGAGCACACAACGTCCACCAGGCTGCATATCGGTCCACTGCTCGGGTGGTATAAACCGCCCACCGCTTCTCCTTTACTCGAGCCCACGCTTCATTGGCCTCCTTGGAGTCTGGCTGGAATAGTTCCGGGTCAGGATCCTGGATGCCGAAGATTCCACGAGTGTTGGCTACGTTGTCGCGCAAATCGGCCAGTGCTGCGAGCAGCTTGAGGTGAGCGGCACACTGATCAGATGTGACTGTCGTGTATTGGGATGGGCCAGCGTCCCGAGAAAGGTCTAAGGGGGGTAATGCCAACTGCGACTGATCGAGCTGATTGTATGCAGGTGGTTGATCTGCCCCAATCTCGGTTTCTTTAGCCATCTTGGCAGACATAAATTATATTGGACTTGGCTGCATGCCACGCATGGACTGTAGAAGTGTGAATGACAGAATTCGAGACTAATGCCGCAACGGAACAATCTGCCTTTATACTGTCATTTGTAGGTCACTGTTGCTCGATGGACGTCTGACATAATTGGAATGGAGGCAGAATGATCGGCTAGCAATGCCACCGGGGCAATGACGCGGGGCAACCACAGATTCTCCAACAAGGAAAGAGTTATGCTCTCTGTCCGTATTCTGACAGGCACGGGAGGGGCCGAACTGTGAGTGAGTAGACCCCAGATTGCCTGGTGTGACTGGGTAAGTTCTAAGATAGTGGCAGAGGCGGCGTCGGGCACCTCGTTAGAGCAGAAGGGTCACCCCCGTCTCTAGACAAACCTCGGCGCTGACAAAGGGCAGTGCCGCAGCACAAGGCTTAATTGGCGCTAGGATACCCTAGGTTCGCCATGTGAACAGTGGTTCTAGGTAAGTGGAACATCGAGGCGAAGCGTAAGCCTCAGGATACGAAGTGCAGTCGGATGTGATGGAAGCTTCATTTCTGGAAGCAGAATACGACAGACTGTGAATGACCTCGATTTAAAGAGAGACCAGATATAACGCAGGTGGCAGTGCCTATCACTGCGTATCATTGAGAAGACATGGGCTCATCTTATGGGATCAACCTCATATGGTCCGCTAATAAGGAGAGCCAATGGACAATTGTCGGGCGACCGCCGGAATTAGCATGGTGGTGGGAGTCTGTGCGTGGGGCAGCCTGTGGTCTGTGGTATGACCTGTGACGAGGTAATAGACATCTCTACACCGTTGCTCTCAGGCACTAGTGCCAGAGATTGTAGGTTGTCCATTGTAAATGCAATTGTATGATGCAGACTGTGTAGGAAGTACAATTGAGATGGTGTAGTGTAGTAGTCGAGTAGGTAGTAGTTAGCACGTAGTTACCTAGTACTCAATTCATGATGTTGACAAGCAGTCAAGCACGGACTCATTGGGTGGTGGGGCTGTGGACGGTTGATGGGGTCGGGGCTGACTTATCCGTGACTAATCACTGGTCCAATGCAGATGTCACGTGCTATCCGCTAATCCATCCACTGCACGTGAGAGCGAGATCGGACAGCTTCTCCTCGCAGGACCCCCGCCGCCGAGTGTGATTCCTCCACCACTTAATTTCAGGGTCTGCAAAACACGGTGCAAGCCGGTGGGTAAAAGTTTTTTTCACTCATCGCTAATTCGTTCTCCCTCCTTGCTATATTGGCACGTGGTCTTATTATCGTCCAGTGCACCTGTGATTTTAGACCTGTGATTTTTTTTAGCCTTTTTTTTCTCCGCCATTCCCTCTTATACTGTCCCAGCGTTGATCAGCCTTGCACGCAACCAGTCTGGATTCCCTCGAAGGATCGCCCAGCGAAATCGGAGGCCAGGGTGTGCAGGGCAACAATCTGGACCCAAGCGCAAGGAAGAATGCTTCGGCTGCCTCCAGCCCCGTAATGGGAGGTGCCGACCATCCATCTGTCTCACCTGCTATCGGGTCCGATGGCGGGGGACCTGTCAGGAAACGTACTGTTGCTGCCGCAGGCTTGGACAGCTCGCCCGCTGCCAGTATCGACGAGGTGGAAGACCCCGATAGCCGTGATGAGAAGAAGCGACAGCCTGTCAAGCGGGCCTGCAATGAGTGTCGCCAGCAGAAGGTATGCCGCGTGCCCGGCCTCATCCAACGAGGCTTTCGCTGACGTGAACTGTTATTCGTTTAGCTTCGATGCGATGTAATTCAAGATCCGTGGAGCGACTGCTCCCGATGCCGTCGCCTGAAACTGGATTGCAAGATCGAATCCAATTTCAAACGTGTCGGGAAGCGCAGCCGCAACGCCGAGATGGAGCGTGAGATCATCGAACTTCGGAAGCAGATCGCGACTGTGCAGGCAAATGGGAGCACGCCACAGCAGACCCCGACTTCTTTGCCCACGGTGCAAACTCCGAAACAAGAGACTCCCAGCCAGGTTGGCTCAGCTGGTGTCTACCACACGCCGTCAGCCATGTCTACTGACCAGTACATGGGGTCGCACGAAGCTGTCGCATCCCTGCTGGACCTGCGATCAGGCTTCGATGGCAGTGGCTACATGCGAAATGGCACTCATCATTTCAAGAGGATTGAGGATGTGGCTGTGGTTCCGGAGAGAGTGACAGAGCTCTTCAATCTGTAAGTGTACGCCGTCGGCTCTTGTTGCAGCACGTCTAACGAGCCTAGTTTTTTCACATTCTATCACCCGTTTCTTCCGTTCCTTAGTCGAGAGCAGTCGCCAGATGAATACTATTCTGCATCGCCTCTACTTTTCTGGACAATCATCAGTGTTGGCGCCCGACGGTACCAATCCGACACCCATCTCCTCAATTCTCTGGCTGGCCCGGTAACACGGCTGGTCTGGAGTACGCTGGCGGACATCCCACAGAGCTACCATGTAGTCAAGGCACTGTGCTTGCTATGCACGTGGCCATTTCCTACGAGCAGCACCTCCACGGACCCTACATTCATGCTGTGCGGAATGATGGTGCAGGTTGCCATGCAGCTTGGTCTGCATCGGCCGTCACATACGCAGGATTTCAGCAAATTTCGGGTGGAACTCATCGAAGAGGAGCTTCGAGATAAGGTCCGAACCTGGGCTGTTTGCAATATAGTTGCGCAGAGGTATGTGCTGAAAAAGCATTAACCGAGGATCGAATGGACCGACAAGCTAATCAATTTCGCGCAGAGTCGCTACTGGCTACGGTCAGCCGCCATCAACCCTATATGATTGGACACTGTCCTCGAACGAGTCCATGGATCCCAATTTCAAGTTGCCGGAGGACATGAAACCCCGACTGGAGATTGAAAAGTTTTGCGACAAGATTACCAGGTCACTTTACAAAAATCGCCGGGACCCTGTCGGGCTTTGCAGTGATAAGGAAAGATCGGCGTTGATCTCGTTTCTCTCTCGAGACTTTGACGAGTTGGAAAGCCAACTTAAGCCGCAACGAGACCGTAAGGCCCTGAATCCGGTCGCATGGAAGACTTTCTAACCTATGTAGCTATCACTGATCTCTTCCTGCGCGCATCGAATCTCCATCTCCACCTGTCAGCTTTCTTCGACGATACTACGGCCAAGAATTACCGAGAACGCCTTCTCTCGCTTTACGTCGCCGCAACTACTTTCCTCGAGGCAGCAATGACGTTAGAGACCGAAGTTGGGCCCGTGCTCTCCTACACCCCGTACTACGTGTATCAAATGATGGTCGCGGGAGGTTGCACTCTGTTGAAACTCTGCAAGAGCTTCTTTGCAGCCCACATTGACATGGACTATGCCAAAAACCTCTTCAACCGGACCATTTGGGCCATTCGGGGGGTATCGGTGTCCAGCAACGATCTCCCCGAGCGGCTGGCGGAAGTTCTGGCGCAGATGTGGCGACTGGGAAATGCGCCGACGCCCAAGTTCGGGCCCGACGGTAGTGAGATTGACGACTCCCTGATGCTGAAGGTACGATGCCGGATGAGCATGTCTCTTCTGTTCGACTCTGTATGGCGGTGGCGAGAGGATGCGCGGACCAAGGGGCGTAATATCGAAGGTAGGTGTCACCAACTCGACGTCGAGTGACTCAAAGCTGACCCGTCTTGCAGCGTGCCTCAAAAACCCGACCAACCCAGATTCCAACGCCGAATCGTCAGCATCGTCCACCGGACCGACGCGCACCTCGACCGCGACGCCCGGGGTGGGCGGTGCAGACCCCAGTCTCGCGCCTGCGCCTCTGCTGCCGCAGCCCGGTATCAGCGTGCCGCCCAGCGGTGGCGTTGGGGCATTGCCCAGCGGGTTCATCGAGCCGAACTATGAAGTCTTCGATCCATTGAACTGGCTTCTGGATGGATTGGTCGACCTGCCATATTCCTATTCCACGATATCCGGGATGGAGTCGCAAGGGATGGCTTAGTGGTGTGGGGCTGTCGATTCTAAAATCTTATGACCTTTTTCTTTTTCATGTGTATCATAATTAGCGGGTTGACGATGACAGGGTTGTCCACCGTGAGAATAAGCTGGACAGGGATCGATGGAGTTTTGTTGTTGCCGTTGCTGTTGCCGTCGCTGTTGCTGCTTCTTAAATCATGTGATACCTGTTTTTACAACGATGAATGCATCGACCGATGCTTGATTGATAGGCGAATGGCTTGCTGTATATATTACATAGTATCATCGGACGATATTTGCCAAGTTCGATTTACAATCCGAACTACATCCGATTCCGATACCATGGTAAGGTTAATACTTGTTAGGTGCAGTGTATAGTATAAGATCACGTGTCTACGTCACAACCTCAGAACCTCTCGGCCATCGATAAGTTAACATCCTCCTCCTTTCCCCGCCTACTGGGTACTAAACCCTTCTCCTACATTTACTAAATTTATCCTCCCATTTCACTCTACAACCTCCTCCCACACCAACCCCCCAACACCCCCAAACCAACCTCAAAGCAAAACCCATCATGCCCCAAGCCCAAGCCCAGCCCCAACTCCAAACCCCATCCAACCCGCAATCCCGCAAGTTCCAAACAACCCGCCCCGCCCCGTCCTCGCTCCTCATCCCGCAAAAACGGGCCCTCTTCCCCCCAGAGAAGAGGAATCCCTCCATAAATCCAAACACAAACACCCGTCCCCCATCCCTTCTCCTCGAACCCTCATCCTCATCCTCATCCTCATCCTCATCCCCATCCTCAAACCTCACTCCCACCCCCACTTCCAACCCCGCATCCAGAGACAAACCAGGAAGCGGAAGCGGAAGCGGAAGCAGAAGCAGAAGCAGAAGCGACACGGAATTCAACTTCGCGCTCGCGCCGCAGCCGTTCCTTGATCCGGGGTGTTGGGAGCGGATGCGGATGCGGGGAGGGGGTGATGATGCTGCACGACCACGACCACGACCAGTAGGGCCGGGAGTGGAGGAGAGCGAGGAGTTGCGGCGGAGGAAGAGGGCCAGGGAGGCGGAGTTTGGGGGCATGGCTGTTCGGGGGCGGTTGCGGTGAAGTTTTGCTGTCTGTCGGGATTTTTGGGTTACTTGGGTTACTGCAGTGGGGTTTGGGATGGGGATGGGAATGGGGATTCTGTCTTGTCGGTGGGATGGGGGTTTATTCTTGGGTATTTATTTGCGGGGAGTTGGGAGTGAGGTGGTTGGATTGGGTGGAATGGAATGGGAGAGGGATGCTTGGTCTTTTCTGAGGTTTTTATGTATGTATGTATGTATGTATGTATGTATGTATGTATGTGTTGAGTTGGGCTGGTTGATTATGGAGAGGGCCTGTGTATTAGGGCTGTCTTGTTCTTGGAGGGAGGGTTCATAGGAATCATGAATGCTGCACTCGGGGTTATCATTTGTGGTAACTGGTGAGTGGTAATTGCTAATCTTGTGGTATCTTAAATAGAATGAAAGTGAGCCGATCGTGGGCTTGCTTCGGTATTGAGAACAAAAAATAGACAGGAACAAAATTGGTATCGTCAATCGTCAATATCATCAATCGTAAACATGACACAAAAAACAAACAAATCATAAGCATGCGTAACATCAAAATCAACCTGTGTATCCAATCCTCTAAGCAAAAATGCATCGCTCATCGATCATCATTAATGATAGCGCAGCTATGGCCTCGGGCTCGTGCTGGAATCGACCAGCACCGCGTCCCCGATGCTCTGCTTCAGCTTCTCGCGCTTGGCTTCGCGTCGACGTTCGCCGTGCTGCTGCCAGACCCGGCGCATGCGTTTGCGGAGGTTGCGCACCTTGCCGGCCCGCAGCCGCAACCGCCACCACGACAGGGACTGGAACCGGTGGTGGTGGAGGGAGGTCTGCGAGTACAGGGCCTCCGGCGTGAACACTTGGCTGCTGCCGACCAGGGTGCCGCGGTTGGCAGCGTGGTGGTGGCCGCCCAGCCGGCGTCGGGTCTCCGGGTTGCGCGAGATGGGCGGCCCCTCCAGCACCGTCCGCTGCTGCGGCATCCCCAGCGAGTTCTTGATCACCGTGTCGGGCTCGTGGTGGTGTCGGTCTTCAACGGGACTCCCGTTGGGGGAGGAAGTGTCGGTCTCCGAGTCGTCCCAGAAGCGACGCGGTCGCCAGAAGGGCTGCAGGCGCCCCTCGATCTCGGGGTTGTCCGCCTTGCGGTTCTTCACGGACGTCAGTGAGAAAGACTCGAGAGCAGAATTATATGAATCAGACCGAGGACGTACCATCCACGGACGTCGGATGGACCCGAACCGACGGGCCGGACGTCCATTCGCTTCGGCTTCACTCACGGCGGCTCCCAGTTGGCGACTGGCGTCTTGCACGGGCGATGGCGGCGACACTTGGCAGACCGGTGGCTTGGGAGGTTGGCGGGGGTTCTTCAACGGTGACTCCACCTCGAATTGCGTCGACGGGACCGGCGTTTGGGGCTTGTCCTGGGATGCTATATCAGGAATCTGCTCACGCGCGGTAGGTTGTGATTGTGGCTCTACCAGCAATAATGACTCGTTGTTGTGCGGGAAGATGGCGATCGTCCTCGCTTCACTGATTTCGATCACACCGGGAGATGAGGACGGGATGGAGACTTGGGTATAGGGCATGGACGGCGGCCGGAGATGCGACATATCTTCGACACCGATGATGATGGACTGCGTTTTCGCGGCTTCTGGAACATCGTGCGCAATCCGGCCGTGGGACGGACCCTCAGGTCGGGACAGAGGAAGTGGCGCGGGCTTCTTTCGCGTCTCTTGCTCCATTGCCATCGTGTGATTCCGTAGGCTCTCGGAGGTGAGAGACGTGGTCCGGGAATTGTTGCGGCTGGTTGGTGCAGACAACGACGAATTACGCTGGGGGATGGCCGGCCTACCATCGCTACGGCCTCGAGATCGCGCCCGCTTGTCCGCGTTGGTGCTCGCATCGGACAGCGTCCGCTCCTTGCGGCGCGGAGGTTCCAGCGAGCCTGGGCGGCTGCCCGAGGCGACCGGAGCGCGTCGACTCGAATGTCGGGAGCGACTTTGCGAGGTATTCCGGCTGGTGGAAGCCGAGGACTTCAGGGACGACCGCCGCTCGGGGATCACCACCACCGGTACTATTTCCACATTCGGCGGGAGAAAGCTCATTGTCGAAATCCCCGAAATCGACATCTCCGAAGCAACACTTCGACGGTCTTGTTCTGTGATGCGCGCACTCTTATGAACCAGCCGATGCTGCGAGTCCGGGTTAGAGACCAGTGAGGTATGTTCCGATTTCGTCAAGGGAGAGCTGACTGAGCGGAGAGAGCTCCTCTTCTCAGTGTGACGAAGTGATCGTTGAGTTGATCGTGGCGAGTCGATAATCATAACCTCAACGGTGGACGTCGTGGACACATTGGAGAACCTTCGCGAGGCGTCTGGTTCGGCTGTAGTAGGCTCGGTCTGGGGCCAGCCGATCTGCTCTCGGAACTGCTCGATTGACAATCCACCTACAGGCTCGTGCGAGTCAGCCCCCTGCCTTCGTACGCTTTTCGAGCGGACGGGAAGCACGTCCGTGCTGTCTGCATCCGACCCGACCATGTAAATTGGGTGTTCCGCCGTGTCTGAGTCACGGTCGATACGGCTAGATGCAGATCCCTTTTGACGGGAAGCAGGTGCCGGTGGATTTCGTGTCGCATCTTGCCGACTCTCTGCCATCAACATCTCTGGTGTCGCGGAACGCATCCGATTAGAAGTATGAGTTGGTATCGGTGTTGTTTCTCCGCTTCGCGTGTCGCTGTGGTCGGACGGATCGGACGGATCGCTCTGTCTGGTCACAAACGAGGAGGACCGGGCTGACCGAGACGGGGTTTCAGTTCCAGCATCTGAGATGATTTCCAGCGCAGTCCGAAAGGAATCCGCCCGAGACGAGGAGAAGGACTGGGCGAGTTGCTTGAGGGCCGGACGCTGAGCCGAGGCTGCGATTTGAGGAGGGGTGGTTTCGGGCGTGGGAGGATGCGATGGCCTCGGGGTTATCGCATCGCTCACCGAGAGTAAAGAAGGTGTTGTTGCGATATGCGCCCCGTGGGTATTGGAGTCTTCGGTTGAGGCGACCGCGGGAGGCGTTAAGGGACGAGCGGGAGCTGGTGGCAGGGAGGCTGTCCCTGACGGGAGGCCATTGTGGCCCACTGGTTTTATTGTTTGGGCGGCGGATGGAGAGTTCAAGGGAACATTTGGCCGGCGACGTAGAGACTTGTGGGCCCTCAACTGGGGCGGATCCAAGTGTTCTGGTGAGGCGACAGAGGTGCCAGCATTCGCCAGGCTGGGCATTGTGAGGAGGCCCAACGGTCCGGCAGATTGGTCCAAGTGACAAGCGGGCAGTGGTCGGGTTTGAATGGTGTTTTAGTTCTGGTGGTTTCTTTTTTCTTTTTTGTTCTCTATTGTTTTTTGTTTTAAAGGAAAAATGGGTTTCAAATCAACTTGGTGCCGGTCGCATATCGTAGCAATGGTGAGGGGGGAGGTGATGCAGTGTCTCGGTTGGGTCTGGTAGAGGAGGAGGACTACAATCTTGTAAATGGACAGCGAAAGAGAACAAAAGAAGAGTGCCGAAGAGATTCCACGGCGAAGAACTCCGGTCCCTTTGTTCTCCTCTCCCACCCTGATGAATGCTAACCAGCAAGGGAGATTTGGTGCAGCGTAAGGGTTGAGTGTGTGGTGAATGTGTGGTGAATGTATAGTGTAGTGTGTGTGACTGTCTTCCAATGCGTGTCTTACAAAGTCCAACACCCGCTCTAGGCCAGCCCACACCCACAGCCAGGTAAATTTAGTCCCAGCTGGCTCTACAAATAGAGTATGTGGATAAGAACGGACAGCAGCAGGCAAGGCACGACCCGCAAAAGGCGATCTTGTTGGCACGAAATGACCCGAGGAAAGCGAGTGAGAACGAGGCAAAGTGCGCGAGTTGCAGGGACATTCCACGTTGCGGATCCGGCGCGCGGGCAGGCGGATAGTGACAGTCACACCCTCCAGAAAGCAATGAGACTGGCTGCGGACAATCGACGTCGGGCCAGGATGATCTACATGATTGAACTTTAGGGATACATGGGGGGGAGGGAGAGGAGGGGTGACAGGGGACCGTAAATCGAAGGTAATTAGAAAGGGCAGACACACCGAAGTTGGGGAAGAGGGAGGAGGATCTTGAAAGAGAAAGAGGAAGAAAGAAAAGGAAGAAAGAGGAGAGAGAACCTTGAAGTTGGGGGGATTTCGTCCACCAACCAAGCCTGCAGCATCACGGGGATTTCCTGCACTACCAATTCATTCGACTACTTACTATGAATATTAATAGTAGGTTACCAACTATAACTAACTAACAGTTGGCTGTCAGAATATCTCCCTCCCCACGATTGGTATTTGTTATTGTTTACCAAGTATACCTAGTACCTACTTTTCCCACGGACCAGGCGCTGTGTCTGGCATTGCATCATCGATGACATCCTCTCATGGCCGTCGCTCGGGAGTGGCGCTGCGCAACCCATGGTCAATCCTCACCAACCTCGCTTCAACCGAAGGGAAGCTTAAATGGTCGCTGATATCGATGGCCGGGATTTAACCCATGATCTTGATAGAGAGAAGACCACATGGGGAAAGACAAGGGGGAAAGGGCAGCCAGCAAGATTCAATCTCTTAAGTACTCGGATGAGTCTAGTTACTGTCTCCAGCCGCCATGCGTTATCACCATGACATCCATCGGCCATCTCTTGTTTCAGGGATCTTTCTTGTGCGTGAATGGTGGATCAGATCAAGATCTAGACAACGACCGGGGCTCTTCGTTCCCGGGTAATATGAAGAGTACCTGTAGTTCAACCTAGGATTGCGGAGATGCGAAGCTATGACATCTTATTTCTGTTGGGACCAAACAACAGAAAGAACCGAACGGTCGCGACGATCGGGAAGGGAACATGACGAGAGATGACGCTGTGTTCCGTCACTTGTCCGTTAGTGGAGGAGGGGAGAATGAATGAATGAGGAGGAGGACGAGGAGGAGGACGAAAGATCCGAGGAAAGAAGAAGCGACAGACAGAGCCAGCCTTAGTTAGGATGCGATGCATGCCCTGGGCGGCTGACTCAGCTACTATGCTCCAGGAGCCCTCGACGTCATCTTGTTTGTGGTTTTCGGTCAGGCGGTAATTTTGATCGAAGAAGTTGGGTCCCATTGGGGCATTGGGTATGGATGGGTGTGTACCACCCAGGTATGGGAATTGTATTGAGGGTATTGATGGTAGCTGATGATGACGCTGTCCGCTGTTTCCCTCCTATCTCTCTGTTACTGTCACTGTCAGTTTATGCTGTTGCTGCTACTGCTGCTGCTGCTCACTGATGATGTACGTATTGGTTTGCTCTTCTTGTTTTTCTGCTTCAGCTCATCAGCTGCTAACTTAACATCTTTGCCTCACCAAGTAAAAGCCATGGCGTTGTGCTTACGGAGCACTGGATCGAATTAGACTTTATATCCTCATATC